TGTTCCCTAATGCTTGTTACAATGGACTGGCTGGGAAGTTCTGTGAGGTGGTAACTTTAATTTATTTGTGCTGCAGCTCAAAGCCTGGTACTTGAGGGTAGCCTCATTCCCAGCAACCTCACCCCAAATTAATAAAGAGCAAGACTGTCCAATCTGATGGAGCTCAAGTATGTCCATTCCCGAATGTTTCTGTCTTCATCCACCACTATTCTGTTTGTTTACTCTCATCCTTAAGGAAGACAGGCTATCCCATTTCTTCTCAGTCCTTCTCTAAAATCCGCCTTCCCAATACCAGCTTTGGCTCTTTGAGTTCTCCCTTAACCTGCTCTTTCCCTTCTTATATACACTGTGGAAAGATCTTGCTTTGGAATCATGTGGGCCTGGTGAGGAATCTTGGTTCTTACCAGCTATGCAATTGGTCCATTTATTTGACTTCTCTCTCTCTCTCTCTCTCTCTCTCTCTCTCTCTCTCTCTCTCTCTCTCTCTCTCTCTTTTTTCCCTTCTTCTTCTCCCCACCCCTCCTTCCTTTTTCCCTCTCCCCCTCGTATCTTATTTAGCTTAGGCTGGTCTCGAACTCACAATGTAGCTGAGAATGACCTTGACTTTCTAATTGCCATGCCTCCACCTCTCTTGTGCTGGGATTATGGATGCAAACCACCACATCCAGTTTTATGCACTGCTGGAGGCTGGACCTGGGACCCCATGTGTGCAAGACTAGCCCGCTACCTACCCAGCCAAGCCACCAGCCCCCTTAGCATCTTCCTGTGGAGAATGAAGAAGATACACTATGCTATGAATGAATGCTATCTATTACTGATCAGTGTTGCTCAGGTAAATTCAAAATTCCTGAACAAAAAGACTGAGATGTCGTAAAGTTCTGTGCCCCAACTCCTAAATAAATAAAGATAGAAACCCTGCCTTTCACAGCCCCATCCCCTCCCACAACTGCTGTCAGTTGGAGTCCTGCTTCCCCTATAAAACAGAGGCTTCACCCTCTGGCACAGTCGTCCCTTTATTTTCACCATCATAGTCCTGTACTCAGGCCACTCTCTCTGCCTTCCTTTGAGGCCTTTCTTTAACTCCCTCTCACTTACTCAACACGTCTTTTCTGACCATACCAACATTTTAATGTACTCAAAACCACCTCCAAAGCAAACGGAGAAACTAGGGTCTCAGGGTTCCTTCTAGCTACGTGGTCTGTGCTCCTTTTTGCTAGACACATCTGACTGGACGCTTCCCACTTCCTCTTCTCCATTCATCTCTGTACCTACCACAGCACAGCCAGGGGCTGCGTCACACCTTCAACACTGTTCACACCAACAGTTGCCGCATCCAGGGGACCTTCTCACTCTCTGCCCCGCTTGACTCTTAGGAGGCATTGCACACGGTGGCCACTTCCTCCTTCACGCAGACTTCTCTCTCCCGGCCTTTTGCAGTGCTGTGCAAGCCCTCCATCACTCTGGCTCTTTGGCAGGTCTCTCTGTTATGCCCGGCAAGTTTGGTCTATTTTTTTTACTAACTCCCAATCTTACCAAAGCATTTCGCATTGCTCTAACGAGTGTTTTGTTGTTTTATTTTATTTTATTTTTGTTTTTGTTTTTGAGACAGGGTTTCTCTGTGTAGCTTTGTAGACCAGGATGGCCTCGAACTCACAGAGATCCACCTGCTTCTGCCTCCTGAATGCTGGGATTAAAGGTGCGCGCCACCACTGCCTGGCCACTCTAATGAGTGTTTTTAAAGTTCTTGCCTTTGTGTGTATGACTCTCTCTTCCTGAAATCATCGTCGCCGTGTCTTCCTTCTCATTCACTTCCCCCTGCCGGGGGTGGGGTGGGGGATGGGCATGGGGTCTTCCCCTTGCAGGTCTTTGTTCCCCCCTCACTTGGCTGGGTGCTGATTTAGGGTCCTTTCATAGCACCTTGTCCTTTCCTATCATATAATTTACCCACCCCATCATAATCGCCATAATTATGTTTTCTTCTTTTTGTCTCACTCTACCTTTCGATGGCGGGGAAGTCAAAAGTGTGAGGTGGCTGATCATAGTGCATCCTTACTCAGGAAACGAAAAGAGACAACTGTTCATGCTCATCCCGTAGTGTGCATAATACCTCTTTGTGTCTGCTGTCTGCCTGTGGGGGAACAGCTGGGTCACCCAGCAGAGTGAATGCACGATTCAATAAAAATGCAGTTGTTATTCCAGTGGTCTGGGAGTTAATGACCTTAATCTCTAATGCTGTGTATTGTTAGGTACGAGGTCAGGCAAGTCAGTTCTTGGCTTCTACACCCTTCTTTGTGAGCTGGGAGGAGAGTCACAATAGGGAGGACACTGCGGGTGTGTTTCCAGTGGCACCAGGATTCACCAAGACTGGGATCTAGGTGAAGAGAGATAAGGTCTGTGCCCTAGGGAGCTGGGGCCATATAGACTTTCCTTGATAGAGCTGAGTGGAAATGTAATATTCTTTATCTGCGACTACATTTACTGGGCTCTCAAGCATCTGCTTTTGTTTAGCGGAAAGCAAAACAGCGAACTTGAACTCTCCCATTCAAGGAATTTAGTTCCCTCTGGCTTAAAAACAACCACAAACTCCTGAGTCATGTCCCAGTTCTTCTAGACAGTGGTTCTCAACCTGTGGGTTGCAACCCCTTTGGGGTCAAAGGACCCTTTCATAGGGGTCGCCTAAGACCACCAGAAAACACGGATATTTACATTATGATTCATAACGGTTGCAAGATTACAGTTGTGAAGTGGCAATAAAAATAATGCTATGGCTGTGGTCACCACACATGAAGACTATGCTAAGGGTCACAGAGTTAGGAAGGTTGAGAGTCACTGAGCTGGATAAACGCACTGTTGGAGAGCCATCCACATTCCCTTTCCCACCCCTCTCTGACTGCAGAGCAAAGTGTGTGAAGATGCGGCCAATGCCACATGACCCCGCCCATCTAGAGATCTTGTTGAGGTGTAGAGAGGCGCCTGGGGGCTGTGAAGAAAAGGGAGGAAGATGGGGACCTGGAAGGGTTGATCAGAAGGTGTAGTAATAAAGGAGCAAAGTGTTCCGGGGTGAAAGTGTCCAGTAGGGTGACCGTGTATAACAGCGTTTCAAACAAGCCAGACCTGATGACTTGTTCCCTTGTTTTAGAATAAATATTTTAGTGCCAGTAAGATGGCTCAGTGGCCCCAGTAACAACCTAACGACCTGAGTTCAATCCCCAGAACCGACATAAAAGCTGATGAAAAAAAAATTGAATCCACAAAGTTGTCCTCTGACTACCACATTACACATTACCCCACACACATCATTATCATCATAAGAAATAATAGAAAAAAAAATAAATGCTCAAAAATCACATGGCACCACCAATCCACCGAGTTGTCTTGGCTAATGCCCTCTTCTGGCATATACCAGTGATTATCAGGTGTCCACATCATTGATGACATAGAATTAAAAAGTGCCAGGGTTTGGGAAATAGCTTAGTAGGTAAGACTGCTTCTTTGCAATGACCTGAGCACAAATCCCTAGCACTCATGTTACAGACCCGGCCTGACTGCTCATGTCTGTAGCCTCTGAATTGGTGAAGAGAGATAGTTGATTCCCAAGAGCTTGCTGGCCTTAGGAATCAACTTAGGTAAAAGAAGGCTCTGTTTCACTGAGAGAGCCTCTCTCAAGACACCCCAGCCTCCTTTTCTGATCCCAGCACATTCATTCATATGTGTATACACCGGCAATTCAGGTCACACACACACACACACACACACACACACACACACACACACACACGTGGGGTTGTTGAACTAGGATTAGTTGTACCAGCCTGTCACCTCAGGCTTAAGCCCTGCTTGGGCTATGGAGTGAATTAAAGACCAGAAACACAATAGAAAGGAGGAAAAATGCCCCATACCTCGGTGGCAGAGCACTTGCATAGTATACAAGAGGATTGGGTTCACTGCCCAGTGCCAAAAATGGTAACATGAATTTTACAAAAGAAACAAAAATGGTCATTGAGTCATTTTTGTTTACCATTTTGGTACCTTATCCTAAGGTGTTCTTCACTTGGAGGACCCTTTCTAGAAAGCTGTCATTGTCATTCCAACAGAAGAGAGTGGGTCAAGAGTTTAAACAGTTGATTAAAAACTTTTTCAAATAAATACGATACTGGAAGTACAGGCTATAAATAGTTGTTATTTCCCTCCCTCCACTTATCTGGGTGGATGGAAAGCTTGGCAGGACATATGACATTGATTAGTAAGAGGAAAGGCTGGATTAGTCATTAGATAAATTGGCAGAAAAATTATACTCTACCTTGATTAATGCCTATGCTCTGGGTCAGTGAAATGGTTTAGCAGGCAAATGTACCCGTTACAAAGCTAGACGGCCTGAGGACCATCTCCAGGTCCCACAAAGGAAGGAGAGAACTCTCTCCTGCAAAGAACTGTGCCCTTTGACCTACACACACACACACACACACACACACACACACAAAGAACTGTAACTTTGAAGAATGTTTTAAAAATCTAATTTGATAAGAAAATTTCAAAACAAAAATGAATAGACTAAAAAACTCCAAATACACATCCTCAAGCATTTCCTAAAAGACACAAAGAGTGCTACCTATCCATGCAGCAGATTGTATTACCCACTGAGTTTCTGATAGCGGCAAAGGGTTGGCTCTGAGACATGTATATTCCTGTCCAGTTTGTCTTACAGCTGCCCATGTCTTCTCTCTGGTGTGGACTCCTTAGGGTAGGGAATGTATAGTGTCTATTACCTTGAACAATACAGGCTTAGCAGCAGACTCAACCAACTCTGCATCAATGGGCAGGTAGGCTTTATTAGAACTGACCAAGCTTACCCACTGTTGTCATTACTATGGGATTTTAAACATTTCTTTCAGATACTTCATGCTGGTCCTTGGGTGTGTGGGTGTAAAAGCAACAGGCTTGGACAATGAGGACACCATTAAGCCTTCTCTTCCTTCCTTTTCTCCGACCTCTTTCTGTAGATGGGGTGGCAGCCTTTCGTGCTTTCCTGAAGACAGAGTTCAGCGAGGAGAACCTGGAGTTCTGGCTAGCCTGCGAGGAGTTCAAGAAAACCCGGTCGACTGCAAAGTTGGTCTCCAAGGCCCACAGGATCTTTGAGGAGTTTGTGGATGTGCAGGCCCCACGGGAGGTGTGTTTGTCATGGCAACTGTCTTCTGAGGTCTTAGAGGGCCCCGATTTCCTCCTGCCCCAGGGGGAATCCCAACACTGGTGGATCTTCATGAGAAAGGGTAGCTTTTGAGAAGTGGAAGATGCAGGTTTTCATGAGAGGAGATGCATTAGGAGTGGTTCCTGTCTGCCCGACACGTGTTACCCAGGCTGCGTTACCCCAGTGGCTTCACAAGAATCCATGCCCTAGAGCCCATGTCTGTTTTCCTAGTCAAAACAGCTCTAGGGCTGCTCAATTGACTCATGGAGTAACAGCACCTGCTGCCAAGCCTGATGACCTGAGTTTGATCTCTAGAACCCACATGATAGGAGATAAATAACTCCTGCAAATTGTCCTCTGCGCAGAAGTGTGCACACTTGTGTATACCACACACACACACACACACACACACACCACCTAACAAACATGCAATAACTTAGTAGAATAAGAACCCTCTTTTAAAGGATTTTGTTTGCAGTCTCAGTTCTGCCACTATGTTTGACCATCCTTAATTTATTCACCCTCTCTGAGCCTTATCTTCCCCAGTGTAAGAGAGGGTAATGTCCCTCACCTTTCAAGGCTACACTAAGTGTTAGCGGTAATGCATCTACTGAGTGTTTGTCATTGCTCATTAATGAATATTTGCAGTCACTTTCATTGCTATATTATAATTATGCATAGCTGTTCTGAGCTTTAATGCAGCATGTCCCTCGAGAGGGTTTAATTGATGAACAGTTTGCTATCTGTATTTAGATGCAGCTTTGACTTGGGGTGTGAGACCTTTACAAGCTTGGTAGAATGCTTTTGGCTCCTATTGGTGACATATAGAGCAATGTATGTTTACCAGGGCCTGTCTATATTGGGCATCCATTGGTATTGGTGGTTAAGAAAGAATGAGATGTAAAGTTTAGGGAAACCTTATTAACAACTGGCTTGAGATTCACCTTAGTGTAGAATGAAGATTCTTGATTAGGATTTGTTGATTTGAGGATTCTTGCCATGGTTCTGTTATTAATCCACCTACTTTAGACAAGCTTTGTAGTCTCTCTTTCTTTTCTATTATTATTATTGTCAAAATATGGTCTCCTTTAATAATGCTGACTGACCTGGAACTCACTCTGTGAACCAGGCTGGCCTTCAACTCACAGAGATCTACCTGCCTCTGCCTCCTGAGTGCTGGAACTAAAGGTGTGCACCACTACATCTGGCTGGTCTCTCTTTTCTTCACTTACCTTATTTACAATTTAAGACTACCTGGACTTCAGACTTCATAGCATTCCTGATGGAATCCCCAGGAATGAGCCCCGTAAAAGCAATTTAAGAAACATCCATGACCCAAAAGATCTGAGATACTGCATTGACGGTTGTTCTGTAACTTGGGCCCACTACCCAGAACGTGCCTTGACCTTTGAGGGCCTGTGACTTTGCTCTCTGTTTGTATCTCCAGGTGAATATCGATTTCCAGACCCGAGAAGCCACGAGGAAGAACATGCAGGAGCCATCCCTGACTTGTTTTGACCAAGCTCAGGGGAAAGTACACAGCCTCATGGAGAAAGACTCTTACCCCAGGTTCTTGAGGTCCAAAATGTACTTAGACCTTCTGTCCCAAAGCCAGAGGAGGCTCAGTTAGACCGTGGATGGAGACTTTTGGAAGTCACTGGCTTCCCCTTCCCCTTGCTGCCAAGACCATATTCTAATGTGAAATGCCATAGGTGTTCAAAGGCGCCGGGGTTTGGGGTGGGAGGCTGGAGGTGACAAGGGAATGAAGGGCTGTTCCAAAGTATGATCCAGCTTTTGGAGCTGGGACTCTCTTCCATTTACTCAGATTTATGTTTTGGTTAGAGGTAGCACCACTGCTGACATCCTTCTCTGGGTGGGCCAGTAACTGGCCCTTCATACGCCTTCCATCATCTCCACGGAGAAGGCAGATTCACTGTGCCGGGCTATTTGTAAATAATGCCAATGCAGTTCCCATCACCACCACAAAACGCCCTCATCAGTAGGATTCCTGATTTTCACCTTGTCCTTTATTTACCCAAGGGAGGAGTAGCTTGAAGACTCAGATTCTCATTTGTGATTCACTATCACAAACCAGTGGCCCAACCTGAGTACCTGGACCTCACAATTTAGAAGAGATCGCTTTGGAAGTTCAGATTCCTAGCACCACTGGCAGTGACCTCTGACAAAGGACATATTCCCTGGAGTTAGCTGTGTCTTCCGTTTCCACATGACCCATATGAGAGTCTGGGGTCCCTTCTTAGCCTAAGGAATTCAATGAATTTCCTTATGCCTGCAACTCCAGAAAGGGTCTTGGGAGACTTCTCCCATGACTTCTGAGTGGAGCTGTCCTTTTGAAAGACAGAGCTTGTGACTCTTCTTCAACTTATCGAGGACTTTTCTAGAAGCTGAGGGACCAGGGAATGTAGCATCAGTGGACTTTCGTGCAATGAGGCTCCGTATGACCTGTCTGTTGCCTAATGCATTCTGTGCCCTCACCTCCATGGCGTCACTTATCTCTGATCTCTTAAGATGAAAGACAGTTTGGCAAAGGGGGGTAAATTCCCATAGCATGACAGCTAGTGCCTGATGCTTCCCTGTCCCTCCACCTCCTCCTTCCCTGCAGGCCATGTGACTGTGATGGGGGAGAATGGGACCCTAGGCTGAAACTCTCATTGTGGCTTGCTTCCTAGGCCTACTGTCTCAGAAAGCCCACTCTTGGCTATTGAGAAATAGCTGCCTTCTTGGTCTCTGACCTTTGGGACTGAACATGAACTGGGAAGATCACTGTGAACACCAGGCTGTGAAAACTTTCCTACAATGCTTGTGTGGTACCCTGGGGTATCTTAGAAATGTATCAGGATACATTTTCTTGGAGGAGGCATGAGCAGCATGGAATCTCTGCAGTTATCCAGGAGAAATCTGACCCCGCCATCTCCTATGGTGACAGGGAGATGGCTCTTCAGCATAGAGACCAGGAAATGGAAGAGGAGCCTGGAAGCTGCTGGTCTCTGGATGAACCGGATTGCAGAGAGGTGATGGAGGAGCTACTGGGATAATTCACAGCTAGCCAACACCGGCTCATTGGAGAGCCACAAACTTTTCAGCTTGAGTGAGTGAAATAGTCCATGGCCAGGCTGCCCTGGAAATCAGGTGATGGCAGGCTAGGCTGAGACTCCCTTTTGTGGGGTACTAGCCCTTCTGAGATATTCTAGGGTTTGAATTCTGGTCTAGGCTTATCAGTTCCTTATTTGGCTGTGGCCAGACAGGGGCAAGAAGGCCCTTGAGTCCTATCCTGTTAGTGCCAACTGCCTTCCTAGTGGGACAGTGTCATCCGTGAGTGGGTGTTGGTGTCTGCGTGCAAACCTCAAGAAGAGATTTTAAAAAACACCTATTTTCTATGCCTCACACTGAAGAGACCCATGACAGTCACAGTTAGTAAGAACCCTGAAGTCTCAAATGGCGTTCCAGGTTAGGTCAGGCCAATTTCCCCACCCTGATATAAAAATATTCTTCGCTAAAGCTGCCAGAATTTATGGAATGATTAAATTATCTAACAGGGTATTTTACACATTGTTTACACATGAAATGTGCATCTGCTGCCAATGCTACTGTCCAGTATGAGGTGCATATCGATTGGACTTGCAGTGATGGAAACGCCCGGGGAGGGGCTTTCTTACCACTTTCAATATCCCAATGCAAAAAGGCTCCATATGCACCGTGTGGCACCCTCATTTGGGGCCTAGAGTTCTTACCAACTACTGGCGGAATGAAGGCTGCAGACAGTGATGGTGATATCATGACACCCTGGCGACTACTTCCCACATGGGAGGTACAAGGGACCAAGTTTGGGTATTCTGAATTTTGTAGCTAGACAAGGGGACAAGGGCACGTGAGTTTGTGTCTGTGTAGAGGAGCAGATAGCTCTATTTTATGGTACTCCCATGGAGCATCTCGTGTGTGTGTGTGTGTGTGTGTGTGTGTGTGTGTGTGTGTGTGTGTGTGTGTATGTTGTGAGTCTTGGGTAGTACACCGCAGACATGATCTTCCCAGGCAGGTAGCTTTTCACATACCCTCCCCTGCTTCTCACAGAAGAGGCACAGAGTTCCTTGCTCTGATACCTCCTCTTAGGCACTTTGGTCATGCTAGCCCAGATTTTGGTCTGTGATGAAACAGAGAAATGTTTACAACATCTAGAGCAATATCGAAGCATACCTCATCTCTCAGCTTCCATGTCTCCTGGCCCCTTCCCCTCATGTCTTCCTCTACAAGCCTCATCCTCCTCACCAGGCTGTCACCACAGATGCCACTTCCATTTAATGTCTTCCTTTGCTCCAGTCCTACGGAGTGTACCGATGACCGACCCCGAACTCTGGCAAGTCCTGGCAACCGGACACAGTCTGCGGCTTTCCATCTGGGAGTGGCAAACTGGTCGCACTGAGTTCTCTTATTTTGGCTTTGGTTTGTGGTTTGCCCGTTGCTCTTGTGGACTAAGTAGATCTCAGCCATTGACAAATGGGGCACTCTGGACGGACTGGGGAGGAATCCTCTGTGTTCATTATTAAACATGAGCATGAATAATAGGGATCACTTTGAAAGCCCCTTACAAATGCTAATTCCCAGGTCCCACATTCAGAGATGCTGATCCTATAGGTTTAAAGAAGGAACCCATAAAGCAACATAAAAAAAAAAAGCTCCTGGGTATGCAATGACATGACATGCAGGCATTGGACAAAGATGGCCCAAGACAGTGGTTCTCAACCTCGCTGCTCACTGGGCTTAGAATAGTTAAATCAGAAACGTTTGGTGGGAGCCAGGTAGTTTTTAATATCCCATTAGTCTCAATGTGCAGATGTGTTCAGGAAGCAGCAGCCTAAGGAATGAAGAGGAACAGGACCGAGGGACAGACACGGCAGCGGGGACAAGTCCCAACAGCCTGCCTGAAAGTGAAAAGCCCAGTAACCAGGACCCCTTGTCTGCTCATAGCTGCCCTGGGGGGAGTTGGTTTGTGCCTCTCACTCCGACTTGCTCCTTTGAGGTCCTGTTTGGGTTCAAGCCGTACGCCAAGGTGGGAAACATGAACGGCACTTGGCTGAGAGCTGTTTGGCCACGCTTCCCCCCTTTTTCTTTTTCTTTCTTTCTTTTTTTGTTTTTGTTTTTGTTTTTTGAGACAGGGTTTCTCTGTATTGTTTTGGAGGTTGTCCTGGAACTAGCTCTTGTAGACCAGGCTGGTCTCGAACTTACAGAGATCCTCCTGCCTCTGCCTCCAGACTGCTGGGATTAAAGGTGTGTGCCACCAACGCCCAGCTCCCTGCCCTTTTCACAGTGCTTCCCCCAGGCTTACCTCATGAGCTCTGTTTGTTTCGTAGAGCCTTGTGTTTGGCCCTTCCGTGTCAGGCTGTGCCACTGAATCCAAGGCCGTGCAATAGGGTCGCTGGAATATAGGTAGTGAGTGAAGAGTGTCTTGGTAGTGATGGTCGTGACACAATAGCTTCTGAATTTCTCTGTGGAGGCTGTCCCTCTCTGGGAGGCTATTCCAAGACCACAGTGAGGTGTGTTTTCCCTCCTTCAGGCCCTCACCATTTTCTCTTTGGTCCCATGTTGGTTAGGCAACTGGGAAGCTGCTAGTTGGCTCTATTTTCTGGTGCTTTCCCCAGAACTCGCTGCTCTGAGAAACCAAAGCTGTGAAAAAGTGAACGCTCTGCCCAGGTGCTTGTCCTGGACAGGCCACAAGCCCTGGACAACAGAGGAACTGTCTCTGCTGTAAGGGGAAGGCAAAGAGAGCTGGAGGAGGGTGGGCAAGGGGGTGCCTGGGGAGGCAGGGGCAGGGCAGGAGAGCCCCCAGCTGCTGGTGTGGTAGTTGCATCTCCATGTCCTAGAGGGAAAGGTAAAGAGGGACACATCCATAGGCAGGATGGTTTTCCAGCAAGCGCAACCCCAGAACTCTGCTGACCCTGCAGAAGAGCTGCCATTTCCCGCCCTTGCCTTCAGCTGACCGAGTGTCTACCCTCCTTAAATCCGTACCCCTCCAGTTAAAACAAGAGAGGTGGTGCCATCATCACTCCTGGCACTGGGAGCCTGTGTCACCATGACACTTGGTATGAGACTGAGGAGGGAGAAGCCAAAGGAGAGATGGCTTTCTGTCCCTGTGGCTTCTCAAGGATTCTACACGATGCTGTGGGTCACAATGGGAGACGTCAGGATGGGACTACAGGCCTCACTAGGTTTTGGATTTAGGATCCTCTCGGTAAATTGTCCATTTCTTGAACTTAACCCCTCTGCTCCCTTCCCCTCTGCCAGATTAGGAAATGGTGACTAGGCTCCGCATGTGCACTGACCACGGTAGCCTTAGCTGGTCACTCACAGAGCACAACTGATTTATAGCAGCTCATCTGCCATACAAACCGCTTGGCTGACGGAGTCCGCATTGAGTTGTTTCATTACCATGTAAAGTGGAATACATTCACTTTTACTATACACAGGCTGTGAGAACAAAATAAACAAAACCTGAACAAGCTGCCCTTCGCTCTCTGCCCACATTTCTGGCCGTCTGACTCTTTATGAGGAAACTCTTCACACAACACGTGGACTCCCCAGGGGGAGCATGTGGCCCTGCCCTGCCATGGTTGGCACGGGGCTGGCCACCAGGAAGAGAAGGGGCGTGGATAGACACGGGTTCGTTGAGAATGGTCTGCGGCTGCGTAGGGGGTGGTTATGAGAGTGGCTTTGAAACTGTGAAGGGCTATACAAATGCCAGGTGGTATTTTTATTTGTGCCACCTACGGCTTGAAAATGCAGGGAGAGAAAAGGCCGGTGATGGTTCGGACGTTTGTTTAGCTGGGGCCGTCTGAAAACGCAGTGGGTTCATATTGCTTATAGCTGTAGCTTGCTTTGTGCAGTGGCGTATCCCTAAAAGGTGTTGCATTAGTCATCAAATCTTTATGCCTGGCGCACAGGTCCTGCTGAGGGGACAGAGGGAGAATGAGACACTGACTCTGCTGGCAAAGGCTGACTCTTCGGGTGGGGTGAAAAGATGGAGGTCCATGAAACTTTAATAATCCAAATAAATTGAAATTAAATTAAAATCAGACCAGAGAAGCTCTGGCTCTAGTGGAGAGTTGACTTTTTTTCAAAGGTAGAAACCTTTGGGCTAAATGAAAAGGGGCTATTATACAAATGATGCCCTCAAATCCCAATTTGCAGATCAGGAATGGTGGCAGGCAGGGCTGCTGTAGACTAGAGCCTTCCACAGGAATATGTGTGACAGCTTTCTCTTTTTTCAGTTTTGTATTCTACTTCTTCTCTTATTGTCAACTGAGGTCTCCATCTCCTGTCACCAGGAGAGAGTGGAGGGGACCGAGCAGAAGAAGAGGTAACAGAGGTAAAGGACAGAGCGATCATGCCTGGTGTAGCTGCCATCTAGACTGGGCTGTGAACTCGAATGGACTCTGATCCTTCGTGTCCACTGGTGACCCTGGGTCTCAGGAGATGCTCCTTGAAGCGCCCTCAATGAGAGTGACTCCAACTCTGGCTGTGCCTGCTTCTTCCTGGACTATGCCCATTGGTTTGGTGGGCCCTGCAGTCTGCCTTCCTCCACAGGTCATAGGATAACCCTGTGCTGGCCTTCACGGGGGATGCTTACAACTGGTGCACTGGGAATCCTTAGGCTCGACAAAGCAGAAAGTGGGCTTTGTTTGGCAGCCAGGCTCCTTAATTAGCACAACACTTACATCACTGGCTGAAATCACACCCACATCTCTGGGTCTCGGGCATCATTGGCACATGCCAGACTCTTCAAGGGACTATGGAACTTGCTCCCTACTAGGGGCAAGGTGAGAGCTAGGCACCCTCTTCCTTCTGGAGTGTGGTGGGGTTCATAGTTCTCCACAGCTTCCTCCATAAACCTCCTACCTGTGGTCGCCTGCTCTTTGGACAGGGCTGAGGACCCTCTCAGGGCTTTCCTCTCCTTCCCTTAGTGGTAACAAGGTTTGGAACGGGCTTTTGTTCTGAGTGCTCTTCTGAACTCTGACAGAAAGCTCTTGCACATGTGAGGGACTTGGGGGCTACACCTGGAGTTTCCTAACACATGGTATCTGAGGGAAAGATAGTCCACTTCCAGTCTATTAAGTGAGTGCCATTGTCAGAGGCAAAGGAGGTCATTGAGGAAGTGGCTTCTGTGGGAAGTGTGCTTAGCTGGGTGTGCTGTAGCTGGTAAACATGGAGACGCTGTCACAAAACACCACAGGACATTAGAACTGTAGTCTGTTGTGCCATCCCTGTTTGCCTAAGTTCTAGGCCCTGCTTCTGAGTTGCAATGGTAGAATGAAATCCTTTTATTAAAAAGATACACCTGTCCATGCCTCACCCTGTGGCGCAGAGGGACATCTGAGCCATAGCCCAGGTCACAGTACACTGATGGGAAAAATCACAGTCTAAAAGCTGCCTTTGATAGGGTCACAGCTACACGATCTTGCTAGGGGTTTGGATATCTGGATTGGAATCCCGGTTTTAACTCTTGCAAGGCATATGAGCCTGGGGAAGTTCTCACTTGCAGAAGTGAACCAATAACTTGGATCTGCTATGACCAATGAGTAGTTAGCATGAGAGCAATGTGGCATACAGCAAGCACAGTGAGCATTGGATGGAGTTTTCTCTCAGGTGGAAACCACATTCTCAAACACACAACAGTAACAAAAATAACAAAACAGTGGAAAGCCAGTGCTATTACAATGTGTCATCCCTTCTTTGCTACATTAGACTCCCTAAGGTCAGAGACTGCTTTCCTCATCCCTTGCTCTAGTCCCTAAATATTTACTGAATGAACGTTGAATCCACAAGTGCTTAAGGGAGGCACCACTTGCAGCTTAGATGCTAGCATCGTTTAGGGGTGGAGGCAAGAACTCTAAAGCCTGGAACTCCTTGTCTCTTACAAGGAGTTCCCTTCCACTTTACAAGCCTTGGCACCTGCCAGATGAACGTAGGTGGCTGCATATTTACAAGCTGGAAAAATATAAGGAAACAATTAGGAGTCAGGAGCTTAGTTGAGTGGTTTAGATACCTACCATAGTTCTATGAGACAGTCCATTAATTTGCTAGGACTGTCGAAACAAAATACCAGGGACAACATGACCAAGATAACAGAGCTTTATTTGCCTCATAATTCTGGAGCTTCAAGTTCAAGATCAAGGTGCTTCTCGGCTGGTTTCCACTGAGGCATCTCTCCTGCTGTTTCTGACAGCCATTTGCTTGTTGCTGGGAGGAGGTACATCCTGAGCGGCAGGCTTCAATCAGCCATGTCTGTAGCGCTCCTTTGGGCACTAACACCGCCTTGTAGGCACCTATGGGGGCTGGCTCTCTCCAGGGGTAGCTGATGGGAGAGAACACAGGGTTTGCATCTAGACAGGCCAGAGACTCAATGTACAGGACCCCGTGAAAGGCTTTGGACTTGTCCTCATTTGGGGACAATGCTCATAAAGTGGAAAGTCCTCAAGAGCCAAGGAACTTCTGGAGTCGCTTCCTCTCCTCAAAATGACAGTTGTCATAGTGGATTAGAGATGTGTCCTTAATGCATCTCTTTAATTTCATCACCTCTTTAAAAGTCCTGTCTCCAAATTCTGAGCTCCTAGGGGTTAGGTGTCACCATTGTAAGTCCAGGAGAAAGCAATTCAGGCCATTATCAGGCAGATGCTGCTGTTAGCCCCGGGAACAAGGGAAAACGGAAGCACAGATAGATTAGATGGTGTCCCCAAGGTCACACCAGGTGGAGCTGGAAGAAGTGGGCTTTAGAATCCTGGTACTCTAAATCCAGAGTCAACATCCTAATGTCCACAGTGCTCTGGACAGGAGGTTCCTCAGGAGATGAGGGGGTGGAGGAAATGGTACAAACACACAGGTGCTCTGGGGAGCTTCAGGTGCCAGAACTAAGATGCTCATGGGATGGGACAGATAAGCGTGCACCAGTGAGGACTGACTGGAGTAGAGATGGGGAACACTTCTCTGTCTTCTGTTCACTCAGAAGTTTGGTGTCAACTCTGGTTGACAGACCTGCTGCAAAGCCTACCTGTGGTAGGATTGGCCAATCATGTGCCAGGCTTCTCTGGCAATGAGCGCAGATGCAGTCATTAAGTTTGATTTGTGTCTGTCCTGCCCTTTGTGTGTCTCCACTAGTCTGTCAATCTGTCTCCCATAGCATGTCAAGGGCACACCATTCTTTTTAGGGAGGCTGAGTCACAGCCCTGTCCAAAACCTGAACATGTGGCTCCATCTCCCTCATCTGCTGTGAGAAGGCACATCCCTGGCGTGCAGACTAAAATTCTGTGTCCATCTCTTGGGTATTAATATTAGCCTTGTAGGTACCCATGGGGACTGGCTCTCCCCAGAGGCAGCTGGTGAGCAGCACAGAGGGTTCTGATCCAGAGAAGCAGGAGACTGGATACTGATACTGTCTAGGACCCTGGGGAAGGACTTAGACTCTCCTGCCTTTTCTTTAATTTTTAGCAAAAGGGGCCCTGTATCTCTCCTGGCAGGTTAGCCACAAGGATTATGGGTAATTTCTTGAAACCACCTGGAGCAGGACCAGATATTGGGAGGTCCTTAAAGAATTGTAGTTCTAAGTTTTGGAGGTGTTGGTCCTGGTGCACAGACATTGTAATACTTGGCCTCTTAACCTTTCCTGGGATCAGAACCTGTCCTGGGGCAGAAGGCCAGCTAAGGTGGGTGAATGTAAGCTGTGCTTGCAGAGAAAACAGGGCCTCTGTTAGCTGGGAAACAAGGCCTTTTCATTTAAGAGGGTGCTGTGATCTGCAAGTTAGATATTCCAGGTTTGGATACTTGGCACGTAGCTCTTCAATGCACCACCCCGAATGCAAACAGCTTAACTGGATGTTTGAGTTGGCAGGAAAACAAAACAAAACAAAACAACCTTGTTGCATCAGATCATCTGATCAGGCACTGACAGCATGCTCTTACCTAATGTATCCCAGGGGAATCGAGCTAGACTTTTGACTTGTTGCTTCTGGGGAAGTACAGGTGGATGTTCACACTCTGAGCCCAAAGTGTAAGCTGCTCTGGGCTGAATGGGAATGGAGTCCCTTCCAACTCACAATGGCTGTGTGTAGTCTTGCTGGGATGTGGAGGGAAGTGATTTCAATCACATGTTCTAAAACTGAACATGTTCAGGTTTTTCCAGTAAGGGTATTGTTAGGCCAGTTGTAACTAGTGAGCAAGGATCATTGAAACCTGGCAACTCCTCAAGGACTGATTGGTAGCATCTCCCAGGAGATGACAAGGAAATACCATGAGGGGCTAGGATGTGGGATTCCCTAGCTGGGCTTCTGGGAGCTCATGTATCATGATCACATTCACATATGGATTATGGAAAACTTATTGCACGGGTGGGGGAAGGGTCCCTGGGGAGGTGTCTAAGGACAGTATTCAGCAGCCAACCTGATGTCTCTAAGGCCTTGGCCTTCATCAAAGAGGGAGGGGCAGGCTCAGGGAGGATCCACCCTGAAGCAA